CTATAATAGGAAATGCCTGAACAATGGCCTTCATGACAGGATCACTAGGTGCCATTTGAATGAAAGCTCTAGATTTTAAAATATTGAATATTACATTATATTACTCTGAGTTAGTCCTCATGCACACTGGACATTTTTACAGCGGCTGTTTTTGGTTTGGATGTTTTTTTTTTTCTACAGCCAGTAAATCGGCCAGCATGTTATCCTATGTGTCCATGCACACATGGACTGTAAGGAATGTTTTTTGGCTGGAAAAAAAAACCCCAGGACTAGTGGGTTTTTAGAGGCGTTTTTTTAGCTGAAAAACCGACGTTTTTGGACTTTAAAAAATAAACCAATTTTTTGGCCCAAAAAAAGCTAAAAAAAAAAACGCAAATGTGGGAAAACGCCACTAAACGCTAATGCAAAAATGCTGAAAAACTCATGTTTTCAACGTCACTTTACACAGCTGACGTTACCAGCGTTATCAAAACACCCCGTGTGCATGGAGCCTTATGCTTGTTTTCAGTCTTTTTTATCTGTTCAATGATTACTAAAGGCAAAACTTTTTTTTCAGTTTTGGATAGAGCGGAGAGGGTTCAGACTCCCTATCAGGTTTTCATTGTTTTCCTGTGCCCCGTTAAGGAGGTTCACGCTCTCTTTTTTGTTCTGTTTACCACTATTATTGAAAGAGAGAGTAAAAGAAAATCCCAAATTTTTGGTTGTCCGCAGAAAAAAGTAATAAAAGAGAAATCTTCCAATGGGGACACTAATTCTAGTGACCTCGGGGTTTCCAAGGAATTCCCTTAGTTTGCAGGGATTATCTCTCACTTCCTGTTTTGGCTATGGGACAGGAAGTGAAGGGAAATATTCCCAATGGGACACATGGCAAAAAAAAATGTGAGGGGTTGTAAGCCTTCCTCGCTCTATTCAAAATAAGAAAAAAAATACCTACAGTTCTACTTTCAGTATCTGTTTGTACTATAATTAGCTTTTGTATTGGAGTGTGAACTATTTCTGTCTGTAAGGGTGGCTTCGTTGCTTTGCTGGGGTCTCCTTTGAGTTTCCCTGACGGCGTGTTCCTGGACAGGTTTTTCTCCATCTGTGTGCTCTCTGGCACTGTGTAAAGGGCATGTGTGTGCATTAGGGCAGGTTGTCTTTCATATTGTGCCAGGTTGGTTGCCATGCTAGGTAAACGCATGCTCGGTGCGGTGCAAGGGGTGTGCATGTGCAGAGTGGCCTCTTGGGTGGTGTGTTAGGGGTGCTAATGCCTAGTGTGGCTGGGGTCCTCACTGATTTAGGGCATGCGTGTGCAGTGTGACACATATGAACCCTGAAGCATCATATAACCATTGCACAGTATGTGCTTGCTCGTGACTCAAAGTTCAGGTGAAGTGCAGCACATGGGTGGCACAGCTTGGAGAATTTTCAAAATGTAGATGTGTTTTGGTGGAAACCGATGAGAAGTCATTTAACAGCTATGTGGAGCTAGAGGCGCAACATCCGTTCACACTGATGGATTAAAAGATTTTTAGTGATTGGGTTTCTGTTAAATGTCTTTTTATTATTTTCCCCCTAATTCACAAGCAGATGGTAGCAGAAGAAAGCTCAGTCAATATATGTTCAGTTTGTTGGACTGGTTTACAGAGGAGTAGTTCTCAAACTGTCCCACCTACAGATCATGAGCACTGTGTCAGCACTGAAGGGGGACAAGTCTGGTGATTGTGCGTCCAGGACTGTGAACATGTTGCTTTTTGAAGTACCTTTAAGAGTATCTGGAGAAAGTTCACGTTCTACTTGTGGCAGGTGCTTCCTTCCTCCACCAACTGTTTTTCACTTCCGATGCTTCCATTGCCAGACTGTTCATGACACACCCAGCAGCGTCCAGATAATGCCGAGCTCTCGGCTCTACGTTCCAAGTCGTGTCCTCTGTGTAGTGTGCTATTATGGGCTTTACTTTCCTTGTATCGCAGGTTTAGCAGGGAAATACAGTTGGTAAGTAGGATTTCATTTAACAAAAGTATCGGGAGTGTTTTGTAACCCAAATCTTATGTGTAGTTATTCATTTTTTTTTAACTTTTCTTTTTTTATACTATTATTATTTAGGATTTATATAGCACCAACAGTTTGCTCAGTGCTTTATAATATAGACAATACAGCAACAATACAGTTCAATACAAGAGGGATAAGAGGGCCCTGCTCCTTGAAGCTTACAATCTAGGAGGGAGGGGCTAGTGATACAAAGGGTAGTAACTGTGGGGGATGGACTGGTAGGAGGAGTAGAAGATTCCATTTTTAGCTGAGGGCAGGATAGGCTTCCCTGAAGAGAGAGGTTTTCAGAGATCTCCTAAAAGTGAGCAGAGTAGGCGATAGTCTGATAAATTGGGGTAGAGAGTTCCAGAGGATGGGGGAAGCCCTGGAGACGAGCATGGGAGGAGGAGACAAGGGAGCTAGAGAGCAAGAGGTCGTACGAGGAGCGGAGAATACGGTTTGGGTGATATTTGGAGACAAGATTGGTGATGTAATTTGGGGCAGAGTTATAAATGGCTTTATATGTTATTGTTAGTGTTTTGAATTTTATCCGTTGGGCAATGGGAAGCCAGTGGAGGGATTGGCAGAGAGGGGGTGGCAGATACAGAACGGTTAGTAAGGTGGATGAGTCTGGCAGCAGCATTCATGATGGACTGAAGAGGGAACACCCTGCGATGAGGTAGGCCAATGAGGAGGGAGTTACAATAGTCAAGGCGAGAGATAACAAGGGAGTGAATAAGATGCTTAGTGGTTTCCGAGGTTAGGAATGGGCGTATCTCGGAGATGTTGTGGAGGTAAAGTCTACAAGATTTGGACAGTGATTGGATTTGGGACTGGAAGGACAGATAGGAGTCTAGGATTACACCTAGTACCCTGGCATGAGGGGAGGGAATGATGGTTGTATTATTAACCTTGATGGAGAAGTCAGGGGAGGGGGCACGGGCTGGGGGGAATACTAGGAGCTCAGTTTTGGAAAGATTGATTTTGAGGAAGTGGAGTGACATCCATGCCGATATGTCACTTTGTAGGTTAGTAATAACTTAAAGTGACTGTTTCATGAGGAAAGTATGAGCTGCCATTTCTGCCCCTCTCCAACATGCTGATAGCTTTGCTATGTCTGGCTATACCACTTTTGGAGTCGGAGCCAAAGAGAAAAACTACTACCCTAAAAACCTTTGATTAGAAGAGAAACTACCCTAAAAACATTTGTTTAGAAGCAAAAATACTCTTAGGTACATTCAGTGCTGGTTCACACTGATGCAGTGCAGGATTTGCAGTGATTCCTGTGCGTTTCCTGCACCGCATCACAATTACACTCCATTCATGTGAATTGCTGCAGGTGTCAATGTTAAGTTAACAACATCCCAAAAACAAGTTGCAAATTGCAGTGCACCCATGTTTTCCAATTCCAGTGCAGCAAAGAAAAGGATCACGCACCTATTTTGTGCGGGTGCGGTGCGATTTGAGCCATACAATATGAATAGTCTCAAATTGCAGAACAAAGATTCACATGTGATTGGAACAGGAATGCGGTGCAATTCCTGTCCAAATCGCATGTAGTTTCCCACACTGCATGAGTGTGAACCAGCACTTAAACAGAAAAGACCATTCAAGCTGAACTAAACCCATCAACTTAATGGTTTCAAAAAAGTTACATTCCATTCATGCCAGGAATGCTGATTGTCACATTTGCTTGTGTTCTCAACCAACCTGTAAAACCATCCAATGACTGGTGTTCTAACTGATCACGTGCAACATCATGGCAATTGCAGATCAATCAGAGGCTATGATGGCAGCTTTCTTGCCTGAAAACAATAGCAGGGTTTATTTCTGCTTTCAGAATATCTGATTTTGCCCAATTTGCGCAACAAGAACCGCTTTATACATTGTACAATAAATACTCTAAAAATTTAATGAGTGAATGCTGATTAGTTCACACAGAATGATTGTACATGTAGTTCACAGCGCAAATTAACTATGCAATTTTTTTATTTTTTTTTAAATAATCAGGTCCCTTTAATATTGACATGTTGGTGAGGTGGTTGTAAGTGTGTTTAGTTTTGAGTACGGTTTACTTAAATTGGAACTAACGTCCTGCTGTCAAAAACAGCGAGCAGGCAGCTCTATGTTGCAGAAGAGACATGCAGTGTCTCTTCTGCAATAGAAGAAACCGAAATGCCTGCTTGCAGTCTTCTTTGAAATGTACACTGAGCTGCATAGGCACAGCTGAGTTTACTCTCCAGTGTGCAGCGCCTGTGTTCTGGAATGACTGTGCAGGCGCAATGAAGACAACCGAAGTCTAGCAACCAGCAGAAGATGCCAACGAGGGACACAGAAGGAAAGGTAAGTTTTTTTTTGTTTTTTTTTTTTGTTTGTTTTGTTTTTTTTTTTTTGTTTTGTTTTTTTTGTTTGTTTTTGTTTGTTTTTTGTTTTTGTTTGTTTTTTGTTTTTGTTTGTTTTTTTTTTTGTTTTTAGCTATGTTTTAAATTTTTGCAGACTAAGAATTTTTTTTTTCCAAGGTCTTTTTAAATTTCACAGTGCTCTCGTACCTTTGTAAGGCTGTGTTCACACTGCCATGCACGTTGGTGTGAAGCAGGGCCCTTCAGTCTGAATAGCACCCCAAGGCACCTTCTCAATGCATATGCATTGTTGTGCACTGCATTGCCAAAAATTCTGCATGTACCGTTTTGGTTTGTTAGCCTATGCAAAGAATGAGTTGCCTTAACGCAGTGCATATCAACGCACAGCATAACACGTGTGTGCGCAGTGTGATCATGTGAACCCAACAAGGTTAATAAGTGTTTAAAAAAAGTAAGTAAGGTGCATTACTTGTATCCATAGACCATTAGTTTTTCCACAGCAGGAAATGGGGTGCTTACGCAGTGCTGCCTGGCTAAGAACTGGCTGTACCCTTAGGCATGACTTGGATCTTCTCTTGATACTTTTGCCTGACATCTTTTACTAATTTGTGTTTTTTAGCACGTGTTACTATGGCAGTGACTGCTGGGAATGCCACTTCCTTTCCTATGAGTAACCACACCCGCGAGAGAGTAACCGTTGCCAAGCTTACCCTGGAAACTTTTTATAGCAACCTCATCCTACAGCATGAAGAACGGGAGACCAGGTAATTCCTCACTGATGTCCATAGTAGGGTGTCCACACATTTCAGTTTTAATTTCTCCTGTGACTTCTTTTCTTAAAGGGTAACTCCACTTTTGTGGCAAAAAAATGGCATACAGTATTCAATTGTTAAACAAGTCATATTGTAATTAAATGTTATTTAAAATCACCTTTCCTTTCCAGTCTACAGCTCTGTAATTTTATGCAAAATGCAATGCAACCTGGAGACATTCTGTACACGTATGGTGTATGGAACCCCCCCAGAAATGTAATTTCCTGCTTGTGTGATTGGCTCACTGATTTTCCCAGAAGTCTTCATTGAGATACAAGTCAGTTTTTGAGCATCCCCTGCAACAAAAATTAAATTTTTAGTGAGATGCTTCCAAAAATCCAAAATTACGTCTAAAGGGATGAAACTTCAACTTTCTTCATTAGAACCCTGCATGTTCAGTGACTGATTAATTGATTTTTAAGGTCACTCCCATTCACATTCACTTTGCACACAGACAAACAAACCGCTATTTCCTCAGAAGAACAAAAAGTAGGAATCTGCAAAGTTTGTTAAAATACTTAGATCACCCAGAAGGAAATGTTTTTTTTTTTGCTCAACAAAAGTGGAGTTACTCTTTAATTCAGTTACCTACTTCCTGAAGTATGTGGCAGTGGTTTTTACTTGGATGCAATTAGAATTATTTGGATCTAAATAGTTGCAAAAAATATCAGTCTGATATGAAATGTTTTGTTTTACTCCATGTACTTTTGTGGATTGCGAAGAGTTAATTGTCTTGGGGCACATTCAAATCTGTGTAGTGGGGATGCATGGGAAAATACAACATCGGCATTTATTCTAAAAGCTTTCCCAACACGTACTGGCCAGCGTGCTTGACACCATTCTGTGTTGGAATGAAGTAACTCCCATGCGCATGCATGGGAATTAAGTCATCCAGGCCTGGCAAATGAAGAAGCCAAAATCTCTGAACTTTGAAGAAGATGGATGCCCCAGCGACAAAGGGGAGCGCTGACATTGCCTCACTGCAGAAGATCGCTTTGCTAGGGAAATCTATCATAATGTGCAAATATGCTGTTCATGCTTGTACATTATAGGAAAGTCTCCGGGGGGGGCCCAAAATTTTGAATTTAGTCTGGTGTTTTGACAGTACAACAGCTTGGGGACCTAATTTTTCTTCACTGTAGTTATTAAATACAACTTGGTCATCTCCTCATCTCTAACCTGTGATCAGACAATAAGAGAGCACTGAACAGGTGAGGACATTGCTCACCTGCTGTCAGGGTGTTCCTTAAAAGCACATGTGCATGCAGCAAAGTGTGATTAGTTCAGAGTGCCGCTTTCCCTCTTCAAAGGTGACTACTGCCATACAGGAATTTAACAGAGGGTAATATCAAGATAGAGTCAGGTACTAGCTACATGTGAAAATGTATTTATGGAAATGTATTAGTTAGTGGTTTTATATCTGCCTGATGTTCATCATTAGGGCTCATGTACACTGCAGCTGCTAAACTTATGTTTAGGAGCTGTTCAGCGTTTTTTTCAGCAGCCCCTGAACTCACCCTTATGTTTTCCTATGTGTCCATGTACACATCTTCATTTACAGGCAGTTGAGTTTACAGTCGTTTTTTTGAACGCAACAAACTTGCGTTTTAGATTTTGATGTTATCAGCGTTTCAAACGCAAATCGCATTTATAAGCGTTTAAAAAATTTTTTTAAATCCATGCTGTTCCCAATGCTGTCCAGAGCCTTTTTCATCGTGAAAAATGCATGCAAAGAGTTTTCAGGGTGCTCAGATGGACAAAACACTGAATACAGGATCTTCCTATCAAGCTTGTCACATATTGTAATGACCAATTCACACCTCAGACCTCTCCCACCCTTGGAAACAAAAGATATGTTAATGACCATTCCCACCTCAAATTCCTCCTGAAAACCCCCTGCCAGGTGACCTTAATGACTCACTCCACCAGACACCTTCCCACCCTTGGAAACAAAAGAAATGTTAATGAGCAACTCACACCTAATTATCTCAACACCTACTGCTGTCTCTGCTTCTACTCTCTGTATTTCTCTGAAACAGTCTGAAATAGTTAATAATTTACCACTTTTCAGTGCATTCTGGGCATTTGGGAGGTTCTCCTGTGCTTATCTTTAAAAAACACTTCTAAACAAACGCATAAACGCGTTATGCAAACGTAGCTGAACAGACTTTTTTTAACCTACATTTTCCAGCAGTCAGTTTCCATTGTTCAGAAATGTCCCGTGTACATGGGGTCTTAGTTTTTAGTTTTTTTTGAAACCTTAATGAGGGTACCCTAAAATGTAAGATGGACAGTTACTTAATGCAGAACTAAACCCTCCTATCCTTTTCAGCCAAGGAAGCTGCCATCTTAGCCTCTATTTGATCTGCAACTGCTGTGGTGCTGCACATGTGAACAGTTTTGACACCCGCCATTTGTTGGTTCAACAGTTCGGTTGAGAGCACAAGCAAATGAAACAGTTAGGGCTTGTTCACACCATGATGAAGAGACATCAGTTTTTCTGCATGGACACAATAAAATCAGCTGTGCTTTATTTGCCCTGTTCACACCACAACACTAGTATCGTGCAGATTTTGTTCTGTGCAGGAATCTGCAACGTGTATAAAACTCATTGAAACACGCATGAAAACTGATGTAAACTGATGTCTCTGCAAGTGAAATCTGCACATCAGTTTCATACACGTATAGTGTGAGCAAGCCCTTAAATCGATGGGTTTAATTCTGCTTTGATGCGTTGGTTACCATTCAGAGCTAAAGTGTGATGTTTAGATGGAATGAACATTTAACGTTTAATATGCTTTCTTTGCTTGAAGGCAGAAGAAACTGGAAATTGCCATGGAAGAGGAAGGATTGGGTGATGATGAGGTCAGTTATTTATAATTATTTGGCTTATTTCTGTCCCGTTACAAAGTGTTTGTTTTCAATCCAACTCATCAGGCAGTGAGTAATTGTTGAGCTCCACCCTGAAATGTCATGCTAGTCTTTTCAATCGTTGCCACCAAAGAGTCAATAAATGGACAAATATCTCTGCCAGTTAGGCACAATGTCTGCATATGCTAAGACAGCACAAGGCTCTACTAGTCCATAATTACACAAAGTTTAAAGCTGACTTGACTCTATTACTGTACGGAGAGGATTATTTGAAAATCCATTTACCAATGTATCATCAGAAATCGTCAATTTATTCGTTTTCTGTTCAGACTGAGAACTGTAGTTATTTTCTTTACTTTTTCTGCCCTCTAGTGTTATAATAGAACTCTGCAAGAATGTTGCACACTAACTAGTAACCTCCAGCAGCTGTTCATTTTTTTTTTTTTTTCTTTAAGTTTCTTCTCTAATCTGTTTTTCACGAAGATTCTCTAAATTTTGCTATGATTGAGGTTTAGTTTTTCTTATCATGATAAGACCAATCCTTTTCATTTAAAAATGCTGTATTGCAGCTAGGTTTTTCAAAATTGATTGATTTTTTTTTTTTTTTAATTAGAAAAGGCTTCGGCGCTCACAGCATGCCAGAAAGGAAACGGAATTCCTGCGGTTGAAGAGGACCAGACTGGGATTGGATGATTTTGAGTCACTCAAAGTCATTGGTCGGGGGGCATTTGGAGAGGTTAGTTTTTCATGGATGTTGCAATTTATAGCAGACATTTACTGAAATCATTTACTTTATAGAGGAACTGAACTCTTGAAGCTGTATCCAACAAAACACAGGCAAATTGCAAGTTGCCAGTATTGCCTGTGGTCTCTCAGAGTTTGATAATTGCAATATTAATAACTTACCATGCCTTGTTCTGCTCTGTGTCTGTCACCTCTGTAGAGGTAGCCAGCTTGATAGAAGAAGGGATTGACTTCCTCATATCAGAGCTGGCCATCTAGTGACTAGTAGGCCAGTACTCCAGAAGCAGCAGGAGAAATGGAGGAAGCACAGATCAACAGAATGGATGAAGCAGGGACTTGCACTGCACAGCTTCCTTTCCATCACGGAGAACAATTAGCAGCACAGTAGTGACATAATAAATCTCACTTCAAATTTCTTGAAACTAGCAGTCAGGGGGCAGCAGTGCCTTAGCTCTCAAAGTGCAGACATACAGCTATGAGGCTGTAGACACAGGATTGCATAGGCACTCGCATACCAGGAAGTGCTCTCCTTTTTTTTTTTTTTTTTAGAAGGAATTCTAGATAAAGGTACGTTTTTCATGGTACTGCTTAGAAGAAAAAAGTAACATTACTAGATGCTTCCATTTCCTATAGCAAAGCCAACCTTCATTTTTTGACTTCAGGTCCACTTTAACGGTCATACTGCAATCCATAAAAGTGTGGTAGAAGGGCTTTTGGGACAAACTGCCAAGCTAAACACTTTATAAGCTCTTCCGCAGAGATTGCATATATAAAGATTTATAAAATAGAACTGAGCATGAGAAATCAGATTACATAGACTACACAGAGAGTCACACTGGAGTGACAAGCCCTCCCTTTCATTTAAAAAGCATACAAACATTACTTGACATTTTTCATCATGTTTTGCAGCAGATTGTCATGGATGCATGCACATTTAATGTTTGTATGCTATTTCAGGTGCGTCTAGTTCAGAAGAAGGACACGGGACACATCTATGCAATGAAGATCCTCAGGAAAGCGGACATGTTGGAGAAGGAACAGGTTTGTACAAAACTCAAACTTTCTTGTCTGTCTTATCTTCTTCCCTGCCCAGATATGAGTCATCTACCTATAGTGCAGCTTCTAAATATCCATCCCAGCCCATGATTTAGTTTGAATGGCGGGGAAAAGGTTGATTTAAATTCCAACGCCATCCAAAATGTATTTATAATTTTGAATATATTTGGGAAGAGTTAGAACATCAGTCAGGTTTTTACTTTTGTGCTTGTTGCTGTCTGTCTCTCCATTAGAGAGCTATCTTATCATTTCTGGTCCCTCTAAACATCTGCCATCTGGACGGGAATTGAATTTCCTGACTAGAAAGGCAATAAAAACGTGTCAGTTGTTCTAACCCTTTGCACCAGTCTAGAAAGACAAACTTCATGTCTTAAAAGAATGTAAATATTTGCTTCTCCTGTAGCCTGTACAGCATAATTCTATTAAAGCTCATCTACGGGGAAATATTCGGGGTGTTTGGGCTATACCAGGGGTCTGCAACCTTTAAGACATAAAGAGCCACTTGGACCCGTTTCCGAAGGGAAAAAAAAAGACTGGGAGCGCAAAACCATTGCAACATTTATAACAAATCCAACACTGCATATATTGCAAAAAGCACTCTGGTCATGAAGGGGGTTTAAGGGCCCAGTAAGCAAAGGGTTAATCAGGGCCACAGTGTATCTTCATAATCACAATCATAGCCTTAGGTCAGTGGTGGGCAACCTTTTTTTTCAACTGAGCCAAATCTCGCCAAAACCACGATTGAAATTTATTTTGACAGCCACATTTTTAAAACTGAAAATACATCCCCCATATAGTAATTCATCCCCCATAGTAATTCATCCCCCATAGTGTAATTCATCCCCCATAGTGTAATTCATCCCCCATAGTGTAATTCATCCCCCATAGTGTAATTCATCCCCCATATAGTAATTCATCCCCCATATAGTAATTCATCCCCCATATAGTAATTCATCCCCCACATAGTAATTCATCCCCCACATAGTAATTCATCCCCCACATAGTAATTCATCCCCCACATAGTAATTCATCCCCCACATAGTAATTCATCCCCCATATAGTAATTCTTCCCCCATAGTAATTCATCCCCCATATAGTAATTCATCCCCCATAGTAATTCATCCCCCATATAGTAATTCATCCCCCATAGTAATTCATCCCCATAGTAATTCATCCCCCATAGTAATTCATCCCCCATATAGTAATTCATCCCCCATATAGTAATTCATCCCCCATAGTAATTCATCCCACATAGTAATTCATCCCACATAGTAATTCATCCCCCATAGTAATTCATCCCCCATAGTAATTCATCCCCCATAGTAATTCATCCCCCATAGTAATTCATCCCCCATAGTAATTCATCCCCCATATAGTAATTCTTCCCCCATAGTAATTCATCCCCCATAGTAATTCATCCCCCATAGTAATTCATCCCCCACATAGTAATTCATCCCCCATATTGTCTCAATTCACTTACCTTTGCTCCGCGCGTTTCCTCTCGCTGTGTTCCCGCGCCGTTCTGGTCTTCAGGGCGGACTGAGAGAGGAGTTCGTCACTCTGCCCCGCCTACATCCTGGCTGCCCCACCTACATCCTGACAGCCAATGTTCCACGCTCCGCGGGCCGGATTTTTGAGGAGGGAGGGGAGCGGGCGCCCGGCACACAGAAGAGCCGCATGTGGCTCGCGATCTGCGGCTTGCCGACCACCTGGTGGGCAGTGTGCTCCGGGGCCGCAGCAAAGATGAAAAAGAGCCGCATGCGGCTCTGGAGCCGCGGGTTGCCGACACCCGGGCTATACTAATAAAGTAAACATGGATATGGACTTTAAAGGGGGAAAAAAAAACCTGGCATAGGTGTCCCTTTAGTAGACAAACTTATTTATAGTGATATTTTAGAGAAAATAAGTTTGCAGTAGCACTTCTGTCCTCACAATGAGCGCTCCATAACCTCAGAGCTCATATTGTCATGACCATGTATGCATTTAGTGTTCCAATTATTGCATATGGTGCAAATCTAGTATGTGTATGTATGAATGAATGTAAGTTAGGGACCTTAGATTGTACGCCCCTTGAGGGTTAGGGACTGATGTGAATGTACAATATATATGTAAAAGCGCTGCGTAAATTGACGGCGCTATATAAGTACCCAAAATAAAAAAATCTTACTTTTTTTTTTTTTAATCCCTGTAGGTGGCTCATATTCGTGCTGAGCGAGACATCTTAGTGGAGGCTGATGGTGCCTGGGTGGTGAAAATGTTCTACAGCTTTCAAGATAAAAGGAATCTCTATTTGATCATGGAATTTTTACCTGGAGGTAACTTTTTGAAATTCAGGCAAATGGTGAAATACACAGATAAATACATATAAGGGTGCTTACCTGCCAAATGATTTGTATTACTGTTCATCCAGTCCTGAGATTTACATAGATCTGCCATATAGTACAGCCCTTTCTGAAAGGGAAGGAGACCTGATATTTTTTTGCAGCATATCAGTAACGCTAACTTGTCCTTTGCCCAGCCAATGACTGGGACAACCGACTGATGAGCTCTTCTGTCAGTTTTCTCTCTACTCCTATCAGCATGCTCCTTGTGCTGCTTTCCCTTTCCCCTGTCTAAGCTCTGCTCTGCTTACAGGAATTGCAAGAGCACTTGTACCAAGTCAAATTTAGGTACTTACACTGCTTGTATTTAAAACAGTACATTTAGGGCCTGTGTCGATTATTTTTGTTAGTTTCAAATGGGTTTTGCATTCTTACAAAAGTTTGAGAATGCAAATCCTGCTTGAATAAACTTTGTCATTTAATTCTGAATGATCTCAGAAGCATTTCAAACTGATGTCAAACTAATGCCATCGACACAGGCCCTTAATAATATATTAATAATACAGAGCTTCATTCATTCATTTCTTTCTTTTAGATCTGTCTGAAGTTCAATGTTAAAACCTCTGTGTGTCCCTACTGAGGTTTCCCCTCGCTTCCTGTTTTGTCTGACATCATCACCTGGACAGGAAGTAGTAGGAAACCTTCTTTACAAGAAATACTGTCATAAACACCTGGCAAGGGTTTTAAAATCTTCCTGGCTTTACTAGCAAAATAGTTTTCTATTTCTTGTTATCTGTGCCCCCATAGTGAAAATTAACTCTCGCTCATCTAGGTGACATGATGACGTTACTAATGAAGAAAGATACTTTAACAGAAGAGGAGACACAGTTCTACATAGCAGAGACTGTATTGGCCATTGACGCAATTCATCAGCTGGGCTTCATCCACCGGGACATCAAACCAGACAACCTGCTATTGGATGCTAAGGTGCTTTTGTTGTTCCTCTTTACTTTTTTTTTTATATCCCTTTAAACTTTTCTCTTTAGTAAAATTATTATTTTTTTGCTTCAAAATAAGTTCTGTTATGACAGTAATATGTGGGCTACTTCCATCTGAAAAGACTAGTCTTTTGATTGTTACAGCTTGTGTCAATGTGCGATGGGCTTCTGTCAGCTCAACATGATTCTGAGGTCATTCAGAATCGATTGTATTTTGCCTGCAGTTGACCTGCCTCAAGCTGCTCTTGGATTACCCTAGACTTTTATTGGGCGAGTCTGAGTCACTGTTCTGACACATGATTTGGAGATCATGAAGTTGAAGAAATGTTGTCATCTGTATGCATGTGATGGGTCATATACTTTAGCAGGCCGCAGCATGATGGACAGGGAGATAACATTTTCCTGAGGCTTAATTCAGAAAAATCTGCTTCCATGATTTCTTCTAATTGCTCACCCTAATGTACTGCTGACTGGACAGGCCTATTACCTGGTGGTCCTACCCTCCAAATTTTTTTTGTCAAGAGGAACAGTTTTGCCCAACGCCTCAAGCAGGGTGGGAAGGATCTCACTGCACAAATCCTTAACCACCTCCTGCCCGCCATATAGTCCAATGACGGGCGCAAGGTGGTTCTCTTGTTCTGGGAGGACGTCATACGACGTCCTCACATTATCACCGCGCATGCGTGGCTCAGGGAGCGCGTGGCGATCGGCGGTGTGCTGTGTCCCTCGGATTTCACCGATCACGGAAAGAGCCGACGATGTCATGACGATGTCATGTGATCAGCTGTGTCCAATCACAGCTGATCACATGTAAACAGGAAAATGCCGGTTATCGGCATTTCTCTCCACTCGAGCAGTCATGCTGACAGCTTGAGAGGAGAGCCAGTAATCGGCTTTCCACGGAGGGGATATGTACATTGATTATCAGGGCACTGATGATCAGTGTGCCCTGATGATCAGTGTAGCCCCAGCAGTGCCACCTGTCAGTGTCCATCAGTGCCTTGTGTCAGTGCTCATCAGTGCCTCGTGTCAGTGCCCATCAATGCCACATATCAGTGCCCATCAATGCCACATATCAGTGCCCATCTGAACTGCCTTTCAGTGCCGCCTATCGGTGCCATGGATCAATGCTGCCTTTCAGTGCCCATCAGTGATACCTGTCAATGTCCATCAATGCCACCTACCAGTGCCTCCTCATCAGTGCCACCTATCCGTGCCCACCACTGAAGCCTCATTAGCGCATATCAGTGAAGGCGAAAAATCACTTCTTTACAAAATTTTATAACAAAAACTAAGAAAAAACGCTTTTTTTTTTTCAAAATTTTCAGTGGTTTTTGGTTTGTTTAAGGAAAAAATTAAAAACCAAGAGGTGATTAAATACCACCAAAATAAAGCTCTATCATCAAAAAAAAATGATAATAATTTCATATGGGTACAATGTTGTATGGCTGCGCAATTTTCATTCAAAGTGCAACAGCGCTGAAAGCTGGAAATTGGCCTGGGCAGGAAGGGGGTATAAGTGCCCTGTAGGCTAGCGGTTAAAGTAGAACTAAATGCAAAACTTTTTTTTTTCCTTATTTGACTTTAGCTTCCTCTCAGGCCTGCAGAATACAGCCTGTCTGATAAAAGCAGATTTCTCTGCCACTATATCCGAATTCTTCGGAAAATTTTCTGCATTTCTCGAACCTTCGATTTGCAAAAGCCAGAAACACCACACATCCTCTTATCCCCCTGACCCTGCTCAGGAATGAGAAGCAGAACCTCCTTTATTTGAAGATCTTAGGGAGGAAAGTATTGAGGACACTGATTTTGTAGTGGAGTCAATGGTGGATTTTCCTCCTCTGCATTTTGAGGTACAAGCCATGGTTTTGTTTCAAATGCTTTCCACTGTGGATATACCCATTGTCTACTCATATAGTCTGCCTACCAGCACCTAGTCTAACCTTTGCCTAACAGCACCCGATTTTCCACAGCCAAAGTAGATCCCTGCGAAGACTGGTTAAGTAAAAAAACATGTTTCCCCATACATGCACAGGTTGCTTGTGTTCTTCCCATCTCATTGAGGATATTGTCCTCCTTTTCCTCTGCCCTGCCCCAAAAACAACACAAGGAAATTTCCTCACATTGTTTGGATGTGGTTAGGGCTGTTAGAGTCTACTTGGCAGCCACGGGCTTTTCGCAAAACTGAGCCTGAGACTTGTTCTACGTGTAGGTCCTCGTATAGAGGACCCCTGCTCCAAACAACCGATTGCCAGGGCCTACACTCTGGAGGAAAACCTTTCTCCCTTTCCCTTCAGTGCCTATTCAACCAGGAATGTTAGTGTTACCTGGTCTTTTCATCGTCAAGCATCTGTATTCCAGATTTGCAGGGCTGCCATCTGATCTTCTGTTCATACATTTACCCAACTTTTATTGGGTGGGCCTTCAGACCTCACCTGATGTGAGCTTTTGGCCGAATGATGCTTTAAGCTGTAATCTGAGTATTTGTTTGGGTTCTTTAACCACCTCCCACACGCCATATAGTAATATGACGGATGCAAGGTGGTTCTCTCGTTCTGAGAGGACGTCATATGACATCCTCCCATTCTAACCGTGCATGCGCGGCTCCCGGAGCGCGTGGCGATCGGCAGTGCGCTGTGTCCCTCGGACACAGCGGATCACCAATCCACGGAAAGAGCTGAAGATGTCGGCTCGGTCATGTGATCAGCTAATCACATGTAAACGGGGAAATGCCAGTTATCGGCATTTCTCTCCTCTCAAGCTGTCACGCTGACAGCTCGAGAGGAGAGCCAGTAATCGGTATTCTGCGGAGGGGACATGTACACTGATCATCAGAGCACTGATAATCAGTGTGCCCTGATGATCAGTGTAGCCCCAGCAGTGCCACCTGTCAGTGTCCATCAGTGCCAGCTGTCAGTGCTCATCAGTGCCACGTGCCAGTGCCACATCAATGGCACATATCAGTGCCTACCAGTGCACATCAATGCCACATATCCGTGCCCATCTGAGCTGCCTTTCAGTATCATCCATCAGTGCCAGTCAGTGCTGCCTATCAGTGCCACCTATCAGTGCCAGTGAATGCCGCCTAACAGTGCCAGTCAGTGCCATCTATCCGTGCTAGTCAGTGCCGCCTATCAGTGCCCATCAGTGATGCCTGTCAATGCCCATCAGTGCCACCTACCAGTGCCACCTCATCAGTGCAGCCTGTCAGTGCCCATCACTGCAACCTCATTAGCGCACATCAGTGAAGGAGGAGAAAAAATCACTTATTTACAAAATTTTATAATTTTTATAAAACTAAGAAAAAAACTTTTTTTTTTTTTTTTGAAAATTTTCAGTGGTTTTTGGTTAGTTTTAAGAAAAAAAATAAAAAAACCCAGTTGATTAAATACCATCAAAATAAAGCTCTATCTGTCACAAAAAAAATCATAAAAATGTCATATGAGTACAATGTTGCATGACCGCACAATTGTCATTCAAAGTGCAACAGCGCTGAAAGCTGGAAATTGGCCTGGGCAGGAAGGGGGTATAAGTGTCTGTAGGCTTGTGGTTAAAGCTTTGTGTCTCTTGTGGACTTGATGGCAGTTCTTTGTTGCTATGTTGTTGCCCACCACTCAGTTTTATTACTTGGGTATAGCCCATGATCTGTGAATACGAGCCTGTGTTCTATACTGTATGATTAAGATAATAGGCATTTGACTTACTATAAATTCCTTATCGTGAAGTACAGTACAGGACTCTGTTGCTCCCCTCTGTGGCCTGATCACTCCTTTTTGCTTATTAAAAAAAATGGAGCCTCATGGAGTGGACAGGGTTATAAGGGGCAGCCCTAACCAAGATTATTATTATTTTTTTTTTTTTTTTTTTTGCCAGTGTCCATTCACCTGAAGGTAGCAGCATATTACCCGTGGTCTTTGAATACAAGTCCCACATCGGGTACTATACTCCTACGTAAGGAATTTATAAGTCAAAAGTCCATTTTTTTTTCTTATTTTGATGACCCTGTTATTTTTGTGTCCCCTGTCATTCCCTTGTACTTTGTACAACTGTAATAACATGGTTTATTTTGCAGGGTCATGTCAAGTTGTCGGACTTTGGTCTTTGTACGGGACTGAAGAAGGCCCACCGGACAGAATTCTACAGGAATTTGAGCCATAATCCTCCCAGTGACTTCAGTGAGTGCTGTATGGTCCTGTTTCTGTGTCCTTGCATAACATGAACCGCAGGTCCACTTAGAGAGCCTAAAGCTATTAGTGAAACACTTTTTTGAGAGGAGTTACTAGACCCTTTGCAGCTCGGCCAGCATGAAACTATCTACAGTGTCTTTTGTTGGTCTGTATAGTAGCTTGGACAGCATGCTGCCTCCAGTGCCTTTTTTTTTTTTTTTTTTTTGCAACCTGTGCAAAAGTGTCATGCATAGGGCATGGATGTATATTGTGCACCATAATCTAAGAAATCTTATATTTCTTTTTTTTGCTTGTCAGCATTCCAGAATATGAACTCAAAGAGGAAGGCAGAGACCTGGAAGAAGAACAGAAGGCAGTTGGTAAGTACACAGGTGGGAAATAATATTTGTATTTAAATCCTTTGTAGAGTATATGAGTGGTAGCAGTGATAGAATAGTTAGATTACATTGTCAATTCACACTCTGCACATATACTAAAAGTAAGTTATATTGTACATCCTAAAAGCAAGTAAGCACGTTCTATGTATAGATGACTTGACCCCAATCCACCATTTATATTGCAGCTAATGCAAGGAAAAGAATGTCTAACCAAACCTTTTTTTTTTTTACATTTTGAATAGAGAAATATTATAACCCATGGTAGGTTCTACTGCTTAATGGGGGCTCTTTTGGAGAGATTTATCCATCCATCCTTCCTGTCCTGCTGATGGCTGTTGTCTTCTTGCCAGTGTCTGCTGATAGCGCAGGCCTCCAGCAAAGTATATTTACCAATCCACCCCCCTCCTACCTGCTGCAGGAGTTCACCTCAGGTGTTGAGGCTTAATCAATGATATCGCTGCCCCTTCGCATGTGTCAGTGTTTGGGCCTGGAGACTGGTTGCTCAGGCCCAAGCACTGTCACGTAGAGGCCACATGCTCCCCCCTATCCAGAATCTCCACTTCATTATAGGAACAGAGTGAGGCCACCGACAAAGCAGGAAGAGAGCAAAGGCAAGTGGATAAGTAATATACCTTAAAGAGAGGTGGGTTATTCGGAGACACTGTTGCTTTACAATGAATTGCCAAAGTGACAGTCTGTCTTTAAGCCGAATAATGGGGTAAGTGTAAACCTTTCCTAGGTAAGCCTAAACATTTATGTTAATTTAAACTGTATGTTCAGCCAAAGCTGTTTTTTTTCCACCATCAAAGAGGTTTTCACTTTCTTCTTGTCCTGGTTGGTGGTATAAATTTGCTTTCCTTTGCTGCCTCCCAGCTCCGTCGGTGCCCTCACTCTTTTGCTCTGATGGTGGGGATTCTGAGTATGGGGGAGCATGTGACAGTGTTCAGGCCTGAGCAGTCAGTTGCTAGGCCCGAACACTGCCATTTGGGGATCAGCAGTGACCTCAACACATTGGGTCAATTCTGAGACCTGAGCTTACTCATGATGGACTCCTGCAATAGATAGGAGGTGGTGGATTTAGTGAGTAGACCTTGCTGGGGGAACTGGGCTAACAGTAGATGCTGGCACTTTGCTAAGGACAACTAAAGCATTCATGCCTCTTCAGTGTACTTTGACTGAGAACAACTATAGGAATGATGCTGAATTGGAGTGGTGGTTAGAGAGCCAGATGATATCACAGCCATTCAACCATCACATGATCAGGCTAAAAAGAAGCTAAATTCTGAGTCGCTATGCTGAACAGTTTTTTTTTACTCGGTTTGCTAAACACTGTGCTGGTAAACTGTAAATAGTTTTCATTGTTATGTATGCTGCAAACCATTGAAATGTAACATATCTGGTCATTAAGCGATTCTGTATTTCTTTGCTGTTTTAGGTTTTATACAGTATGTCTTGTGGTCCATTGATCTAATTAATCATTTATCGTGTGTCATGTTTCAGGCCTATTCCACAGTTGGGACTCCCGATTACATCGCCCCTGAAGTTTTCATGCAGACAGGATATAACAAGCTTTGTGACTGGTGGTCATTGGGTGTCATCATGTATGAGATGTTAATAGGTACGAAGCATGAATATAATGAAACATTGCAACTGTACTGTAATCCGGAAGTCTACTTTATCTGTAGACTGCAGCATCTCAACAAATGACTGCGGTTTTCCACTAGTATTGGCATGTGGTCAAGGTTGCAGTTTGTGGTGTTCAGGCTGTGGGGGCAGAGCCTGCATTTTCACAGATGCAGGTTCAGGGAAAAATGAGGTGACAACCAAGTTTAAGAAGCTGCCCAGGATTAACAGCAAAATGCTAATTACAGACCCCATGTAGGCTGTGTACCCTGAGTAGTTTTACAGAAAACCTGCCGGCTTAGAAATATTGAAGATGCCAAACTAAACACCAGGCAAACCGTTACAAACAAAGATGAAATATGCCAAAGAATAATTATTTTTTTTTTCCATCCAGTCCTGAGATTTACACAGCTCTACCTACATACAACACAGCCCTGCCTTGCAGGGCTGGAGGCCTAATTGTTCTCTGCTGCAGTCAAGTAGCACAGGTCTTGTCTGTCCTCAAGCCTGTGACTGTACAGTGAAAGGAGAAGCAGCAGACTCACAAGCTTATCTCTGTCATAGATCAGTGGAAAGTCTGGGAGGCCACACTAAAGCACATATCTACTTTGTTTAGAAAAGTCGCTTAAAAACACCATTGTATATGCCAGTGGGGGAAAAAAGGTTCACGTGTATCGTGCCAACCTGAGGTTATGATTAAGCGCTGAGGTTGGCACGATACTTGTGAACCTTTTTCCCCCCTTTAGCATACAGTATTGTGTTTTTAAGCAGCTTTTCTATACAGTAAAGTGGATATGTGCTTTAGTTTGGCCTCCTGGACTTTCCTTTGATCTATAGCATAGGTGTGAGAACTGGGCCAACACACAGGTTGCAGGATTGTGGAGTGTGGGAGTGGTGATCTTACCTGGAGCAGCGTTACTTTCTTTCTCATCTGTCACTCTGCTCTCTGACTCTATCAACATGTTCACTGTTTGCACATGAGCACTACAACACAGCTTATTCTGCTTCTCCCTAATTAAGTCTAAGCTCAGTTGTACAGGTTTTGTAGGAAGCTGATAATAGGGCAAATTTGGGTACTTGCTCTGGTTGCATTTACAAAAAAAAAAAAAATTAATACAGAGCTGAATTAATTTTATGACTTTTATATATGACTGGATTTCAACTTTAAAGTGACATTAAACAATATCCTTATTCTCCGAAAATAATCCATACACACTCTATAATTAAGAGCCATGTTATCTGTTTTTCATAAAATAGTTTCTTGCTGTTTTCTGTTTCTTTGCAACATCCTCTGCAAGCTCCTGAACCTCTATTCCCCCCCATTACTTTGTTTGTTTGGAACAAGCAGTGCATGTTAGTTGCCATCCTGTGCCCTGCTCTATGCATACTAAACATCCCATAGTCCGTAGACTATCTCGGGAGCAAGCAAGAGAGGATAGCTACGTTCCTATGTACTGTGGGACTATAGAGAACAAAAGTAGCCACTCTGGGGGGGCGCAAATGTACTTTCCATTTTTCTGTGGTGTTGCATAACCTTTCACTGCACCCAGAAATAGCTGTACAGTTGACATTTTTCATAAGTTACAAACCCTTTTATCATCAATTTTTCACAGTTCCTGACCTCAGCTCTGTGAACTCTGTAACATAAATATTGTTGTTTGATTCATTTACATAAAATTTAAGGAATTCTGACACTTAATTGTTGTACTTGTTATGCTCTTGATTTGCTTTGGCTGATATAATTAAAGTCTTTGTTATGCCTTACACAGGATATCCTCCATTCTGTTCAGAAACGCCACAGGAGACGTATCGGAAAGTGATGACCTGGAAAGAAACACTTGTTTTTCCTCCCGAGGTGCCAATATCTGAAAAGGCAAAGGATTTAATTCTCAGGTCTGTACCTAGTCGCCTAGTAGGGGATGCCTAGGTATTAGCGATGCATACTTGTTCATAGATTGACATTCACCCTTCACCGTTGATTCCCATTGGACGTTTTAAAGCGTTCTGCCACATGTATTTTCTGGAGTTCCCAATCATGCGATCACTGTGAATTGCCTGTCACAGCGATCACAAGTTTGGGAGCCTATACTAGTGGCTCCTAATTGTAAACCTGACCAGGAGCTATCGGTGACAGCACGGTCGCAGTGCTGGGGGCACCAAGTGAGTGTGCCACACACACACACAAAAATATTGCAGCATGGCATTAAATCCCCGTGCTGTACTGTCACCTATAACTATCAGTGGCATCAGTTTAAGAATTTGTTTGCCATAAAACTCATGTCTGTTTCTCATGTGTTGTTTTGTTTCAGGTTTTGCACTGATGCAGAAAACAGGACTGGTGCAAATAGCATTGAAGAAATTAAGAGCCATGCTTTCTTTGAAGGAGTAGACTGGGGCCATATAAGGTACCAATAATTTTGTGTCTGGTACATGTGTGTATACGCAGGTGGCCCCTTTAGTAAATTACTGGCTGTCAATGACCATGTAAAAAACAAATATACCATTGCCTGGCTGATCCCCCTAGAAGCTGAAAATCACTGTAGTACACAATGTTACTTCAGTGATCTCCGCTTGCTTTCAGCTGAGAGGCTTCCTTGCTGCTTTCTGAACACAAGAAATTGGGTGCCCAGTGCAGGCACCATCACTGAATGCTGATGATGTCACCAACACTCCTCTACACCTTACCCAATCAGAGAACACTTTGCATCTATTCAGAAAATGCAAAGCATTCTCTGAATGGCGTGGTGCTAAGCTGCCGAACTCCTGTGTTCACAATGCAGCAGTCCAGACACTTGGCATGGGACCCAGTAGCAAGTAGAGTTCACAGGAGTAGCGGTACTTCGGTGATTTCAAGCTTCCAGGGAGATCAGCCAAGAATAGTATATGCATGGCTACATTTGTCCAGGCTGAGCATTATTCCAGTACCAAGCGGTACTCGCATAATGACTTGTGAGCACCGCTTAGTCCTGGAGTACAGTGAGCCATGACTGCGTGATGAGGGGGGGGCGCGTGTAAACAACAGGTTAGACTCACAGTAAATAGGAAGAATCAATCAAATGTTGTGCCCTAAGAAGTCCAATGGTGCCAGACCTGTAGTTATACTTCAAATGCAGTGTAAGTATCTGACTTTGACCTGGAATCTGCCTATTGTGATCCTGTACAGCAGGACTGAGAACCAGTCAGGTGCACTGCATGCATATATGTTAACAAGGAACATGTTGATAAGAGGAGAGAAGAAGGTGAGCAGAGGGGGGTGACCGCACTCTGCTGCTCTTTCATTGTCCAGTCAGTAGGATGCCCACCCCCCTCATTTTTAGTCTTGCTGTTTTATGCAAAGAAATCTTACTTTCTGCTGGTATATTACTAATATACTAATACTACTAACCAAGCCCAACTCTCTGGCTGAGAGTTGGGCTTGGTTAGTAGTATTATTAGTAGTATCCTTTGTTATAAAATGCCTGAAAAATTAATGAAATGATGTCTGTGCTTTAAATAGAACACACATCCTTTATGATGTGTACATTAATGCTTTTAAAACACTGAAAATCTAAATGAGGAAAAAAGTGCATTAACACTAAACTCCGGACAGATATAAAAGACACAAACTGATGCAACTCTGTATTCGTTAAGTTCAATAAGTGTGTTTTTGTAAATGTAAGCAGTGCAAGTAGCTGACTTTGGCTTTGTAGCAGCCTCTTGCTGTCCCTGTACTGCAGAGTTGAGACTGGGGAAGGGAGAAGCAGCACAAAGAGCCAATCTGTTTCTGATGTGCTATTGTGCTGAGAAGGGATATTCTGGACATTCAGTAGGAAGAGAGCAGAGTGACAGGAAGATGAGCTTATCAGTGTGCTGCTTATCTTTTACTGTCCAGTCACAGGTTGGGGAAGGGACAAGACCTGCAAGGGTTCCAGAACTGCAGCAGAGAAAATTGTCAGGGCTATGCTGTGTGACATAGCTGTGTAAATCTCAGGGGTGGAAGAACAGAAATACAAATTCTTTGGCAGGTAAAACAAATGCCATATATGTATTGCTGCTCTCCAGATTCTGTCAGCTCCAGTTTTAGTAATGTGAATTATGGAGCCGGAGGAAAAAAAATACGGGTCAATTAAAATGTGGTGGGGAAAGAGGGGTAATTCGTAAACTGAGTTATGTATTTTTGCTCTCTGTACCTTTCCACCCTTATTTGTCTGTCTGAACAGAAGGTGAGTGGAGATATTTGGCGTATGTCTCAAAAATCCATTGTTTTCTTATAGAGAGAGACCGGCAGCAATAACCATTGAAATAAAAAGCATTGATGACACTTCCAATTTTGATGAGTTCCCAGAGTCGGATATTTTACAGCCAGGTATGGACACGATTCTTGGTAAGCAGCATTAGGCACGAGTAGCATATACATATGTATATATTTATTAAAATGATTGTAAACTTTATATTTTAAAATTGTTTTTAAATAACAAGTAAGTTTTATACTTACCAGCTTTGTGCAATGGAATTGCACACAGCGGTCCCGATCCTCCTCTTCTCGGGTTCCCTGCCAGAGCTCCGGGCTCCTCCTCTTCTTGGTGTGCTGCTTCTTATTGTGGCACCATGTTGCCTGCACCTATAGATAGATACAGACAGCGCGGCTAGACAGCCCGCCTGTGAGAGTAGGGTGAAGGGAAAGAGCTGCTAAAGGTGGGCAAAGCACTGGATCGAGTGAGGGCTTGGCTAAGTATAAAGAGCAGTGAGAGCGCATACTACTCTCTAAATATTGTTTACCTTACAGAAACCTTTTCAGTACAACTCTGTAATGCAGCTCTTTTCTCCATGTTATAATATTTTAAAAACACTGCATGTACAAAAAAATAACTGGTGATCTGTCAGAAGTCAGTGCACTTCTATCTTCCAGCTGAGAACACAGTGCCTCTGCTGCACTGAAATCCCATGCAGTGTTGCCAAGTACTGCCACCGACTGGCCTACAGAACTTCTCCTATCCTTGCCCCTCTCCATATAAAAATATTGAATTGAATTATTTCCCAGCCAAACAGTGCTGCTGCCCTGACTACCAAGAACCTGCCCATACATTGTGCATGGAAATGTAGTTCTAGGGTATAACTACATTGATAGGAACTGAGCTCCCTGCAAGAATTTTACAAGCCTGTTGATGGTAAGGTCACAGGGAGTAATAAAAGCTGTACAGGAACAAGGTAGAGAAAAAAAATGAATATATGAGGTGACTGCAGGAAATTGTATTTTTGTATTTGTGAATATTGCTGAAGGATTTGTTTTGTAATTGTCTTACTGTTTCGATTAATATTTTGATGAACTAGGAGAGTAGAGAAAAATCAAATAGAGGCTTAGCACACATGGCCTGATGTTGGGGCATTTATTGTGGGTGTTTTAGCACACAATAGGGTAGAATGGAGGGGACAAATATAATAAGTGCCTGTCAGTGTTCCAAAAATTCACAAAATAGGATTCCAAGGGCACCACCAACTCGAGCAACAATCATGCTAGTGTTGGGGTAGCACCACAAGTCCTAGCAGTCCCAGTGTCCCAACTAGCAGAACACAGCCTATACAGAGATACAAAACCCAGTAGTTCTAAGCTGCTTGTTTAAATCTCCTTTCAGTCTTCTGCCACTAAGATCCTGCAACCATGTGTTTCTCTGGAGTAAACCATGAGTATACTCTTGACTCTTTTTTAGATGAGCACCGGGCTGTTATATTGTATCTGGAGTTCAGAAGTCGGAAACCTGATCCCAAATTTCTGGTGTTAAGGTGTATGGTTATATCCAGCTACAAGATATGTTGAATCATGTCCTGCTGAATCTCCAAGATAGGGATTAGCCCACAGGGGTGAACAAGATGAATCTATTGATTCCCCTATCAGCACTAAACAGTAAGGATAGAAAAATCTTCCCAGCCATCTGTTGTATTGGCAGTCAGCATCCACGGCTGTCAAATATCCAAACAGTGATTGTATCTGGATGTAGCAACTATTTGGCTGACAGTTTTCTGCTCACCTTCTTTGATTTAGATTGAAGGATATTTGGCCAGAGGGTACTGACCGGGCCACCCACAGCCAATGGCCAGTTTAGCAAAAAAACAGCAGGGCTTTAACCATTTGCCGCCCGCCCTATGGCCGAGCGGCGGCCGGCAAATGTCATCAGTGTTCTGGGTGGACGCCATATGGCGTCCTCCCGCACGTGTGCAGATTGCGCTCCTGCAGAGCCACGAAGCGGTGCGATCTGTCACCGGCCGTGTACCTCGGACACGGCCGATGACAGATCTGAGTATCGGCCCCCGTTGCCGGTACCATGTGACCTGCTGTGACCAATCACAGCAGGTCACATGACAGTTGTATACAATGGATGGCTTCATTGAATTCATTGAATCTATGTCATTCAGGTAAATGCTTGCTTATAGCAAAGTAATTCTTTGTTATAAGCAAATTGTGTAAAAAAAAAAAAAAAAAAAAAAAATATTGATCACTTCCCCAAAGTAGTACAATGTTACTATGGTAACATTGTACTACTTTGGTCATAGTGAAATATGAAAAAAAATCTTAAAATATATACATTTTTTTTTTTTTTTTTGCATACTGTCACCAGTCAGTGTCCCTGATCACCGCCATGCCAGTTATATTATGACGCTGTACTGCACTGGTGACAATATGTAAAAAAAAAAAATAGTGAAACTAATTGTTTTAATTTTTTCATTTTCCGAAAGATTATGACAAAATAATACAACTTCACAAAACTCACCATGCCTCTTATGAAGTACGTCAGACTGTTTTCTTTGCAAAAAGGGGTCATTTGGGGGATATCTGTACTATTCTGACATTCTTGGACCTCAAGAAATTAGATTGGCTGTCAGTACTTCAGGATTGATCAATTTTCAGATATATACCATAGTTTGTGAACTCTATAACTTTCTACAAACTAAAAAATACATCCTAATTTGGGTCATTTTCAGCAAAGACATGTAGTAGAATACATCTTGGCCTAAATTTATGAAGAACAATTATTTATTTGCAAACTTTTATAACAGAAACAAAGAAAAACGTGTGTTTTTTTTTCAAAAGTTTTGGTCTTTTTTTGTTAATTTAGCAAAAAATAAAAACCCCCAGCGGTGATTAAATACCACCAAAAGAAAGCTCTAGTTGTGTGAAGAAAATGATAAAGTTTTAGTTTGGGTACAATGTTGTATGACCGCGCAATTGTCATTCAAAGTGTGAGAGCGCTGAAAACTGGCCTGGGCAGGAAGGTGTAAAATTGCCCGGTATTGAATTGGTTAATTAAATGCCGAACAATGTAATATTTCAGGGGCTCAGGACCCCTTCCTCAGGCAGTAGTGAGTCTTACAGGAAACAGACACAAAGTTTACATACCCTAGGCCACCATTCCAGAGCCCCCAATGGTGCAGAACTGCCACTATTCCAGATCCCCCCCCAGTGCTGCAGGACTGCCTCCATTCCCTTACCAAACAATTAACACACACAAAAAAATAATCAAACTTTTAAAAGGCAAATGGGTTCATCCAACAATGCCCCGAGATCAAGTAACATTAACAATCCCCTAATGGCGATGGAACATATCATCCCATCCTAAACTACAAAACCAGCCTGTCAGGGCCGGGACTGGAAAAGGAAGTTGCCCCAGCCTGGAAATGTACTCCTGGCAGAACCCAGTACACATCTCTGCACAAAACAATGCCACAGTAGATGGAGAGCAGTGAGGAAACTGGTTACAGAATGAGCACCGAAATGTGTAACATACATATCTTTTAGGTAGTCTGTACGAAGGACAGTGAAGAATTTAATAAATACCCTGGTGACCTAAAATTTAAAAATGGAAACCCCGCAGAAAACAGATTATGCACTGCCTAGTTTTTTTATGTAACCTGTCTTGTTTTTTTCCAAAGATGCTGCTGTTTTTTTTATTATCGAATACTACTAACCCATGTCACAACTGATATGTACTTCTTTTATTCTTCAGTGCCAAACACCACAGAACCGGACTACAAATCCAAAGACTGGGTCTTCCTAAACTACACCTACAAACGCTTTGAGGGTCTGACGCAGCGCGGCTCCATCCCATCCTACATGAAATCGGGAAAGCTATGAGTTTTGACAACCACCGCTTCTCGGGTTGAGGAGTACACAATACTCAGGTATCTGCCAAATTGGACTCGTTCGGCAGACGGACCTATCAGCCGAGAACTTGTAGAACTGATATATACCCAAGGAAAATCTGCAGGAACCGGATTCCTTATGACTACAGAACCGTGTTGGCAGAGCCAGCTGGAATTTTTTTTTTTTTTTCTTTTTCATTTTCCCTTGTTGGAAAGGGATGGGTTTTAAGTTATCTTGCAAGGGTACTGCATTGAGCATTAAATCATATCAATTCCTCTTTGAACACTGGGCACCGATGGTCTGCTCCTCTGTAGTGACATCCTTTGCACTGTGAGGCCCTGAATTTTAATTGCTGCCATTTACTGTCACACTGGCCTTTAGGAAATGACGACCGCTCAAGAGTTACGGCGGGAATTATGGGCTGCAATGTGCTGCGTTTTAGTGAGGCAGTTGCCCTTTGATAAGGGAAGAAAGTCATGAATTTCATTGTTGGTTCACACTTTTTTTAAAAAATGTTTTTAATTTGTCAAATTATTTATTCTGCGGTGTATTGAGGTTTGTTTTTGTGCTTAGCATATGTTTATTTCCTTTTTTCTTTTCTTTTTTTTTTTTTTAACACTCCATTTTAATTGGTCAGGGAAGGGAGGAGTCATAATTTGGTTCACAGGCCATGGAATTTCTCTATACTCTAAAGCTTAATGTTCTGTCCATTTGTTCCTGTTTTAGTATGAGAGGTGGGAGACATGCTGTTTTAGCTCTGAATGAACTGAGTGTACTAAAAAGAAATAAAACCGTTTAAAGTCACTGTTAACCTGTATTGACAGCCTTGGTTAGTAAGTCTTTTAAAATTGGTCAGTCACCATCTTCATAGAGAAACCTGAACTTTAAATCTACCTTGTTTTTGCCTTCCCTGGTTCTTTCTTTTTTCCCCTCATTGACATGCTAAGGATTTTTTTTCCGCTAACTCTTTATTAGAACATAGTTATTTTTTTCCCATTTTTTTTTCAAAAAGCAGTAGTAATAAACAAAGCAAAATACACAACTCAAAAAAGATACTATTTCCTCCAGTCACCAACACTTAAAGTGGTTGTAAGGTTCCATTCACATTTGTGCGACTCCAAAGTCTGGAGGGAAACTTTGATGCAACTGTGGATAGGTGCAGCTTGGATACAACTTTGGCTTTCATTAATGATGATGGACAACTGTTATATGTATAACATTCAGGTGCAACTTTCATACGACTTTTGAGGGTTTATTTTTGCAGCCTATGGCACTCAAGTTGCATGAAAGTTGTACCAAAGTAGTGCATGAACTACCTTGAAGTTGCTGCAACTTTAAGTTGTACATATTTCAACAGTTGTCATTGGGTACGACTTGTCATGCAACTTTAGTGTCCAAAGTCGCATGACAAGTTGCAAAAGTGTGAATGGAGCCTAAACCTCTGACATGAAATATGAACAAAGCATATCCCTCTATAGTGTGTGCTTGTCTCAGTTTAGAGCATTATGTGTATTTCAGGCTGCTGCCTAGTTCTTCTGCTATCAGCATGAATCACTTCTGAGACTTTTCCTGACACCAAGAGAAAAAAAAAGTGACGGGAGGCACAACCGTTGATCGCCTCAGCTCTGTTTCGGTGTGCTGTGTGAAGGAGGTGTGTCCCTTCCGTCCAATCAACTCTCGGAGCTCTCCTCAGTGTAACTTCAGCTCCCCTCCCCTGCATTTCAGAGCTGAGAGATACTGTGTAAATTCTGCACTTTGAATGAGTATGGCTACATATAATCAGGTTCAACTTATTTAGGAGGATTTGTTTCAGCTCTATGTATCACCCGATGGCCGTCATCTCACGGAGTATATGTAAGGGTTTGCAACCACTTTAAGTTAAGCATGTACAGTGGGGATCAAAAGTTTGGGCACCCCAGCTAAAAAATTTGTATTAATGTGCATAAAGAAGCCAAGGAAAGATGGAAAAATCTCCAAAAGGCATCAAATTACAGATTAGACATTCTTATAATATGTCAACAAAAGTTAGATTTTATTTCCATCATTTACACTTTCAAAATAACAGAAAACAAAAAAAATGGCGTCTGCAAAAGTTTGGGCACCCTGCAGAGTTAATATCTTGTACTGCCCCCTTTGGCAAGTATCACAGCTTGTAAACGCTTTTTGTAGCCAGCCAAGAGTCTTTCAATTCTTGTTTGAGGTATCTTTGCCCATTCTTCCTTACAAAAGTCTTCCAGTTCTTTGAGATTTCTGGGCTGTCTGTCACGCACTGGCTCTTTTAAGGTCTATCCATAGATTTTCAATTATGTTGAGGTCAGGAGATTGTGAAGGCCATGGCCAAACCTTCCGTTTACGCCTTTTGATGTAATCCCCCGTGGATTTCGATGTGTTTTTAGGATCATTATCCATTTGTAGAAGCCATCCTCTCTTTAACTTCAGCTTTTTCACAGATGGCATCAAGTTACCATCCAAAATTTGCTGAAATTTTATTGAATCCATTTTTTTCCTTCTGCTCGTGAGATGTTCCCTGTGCCACTGGCTGCAACACAGCCCCAAAGCATGATTGATCCAACCCCATGCTTAACAGTTGGACAGAGGTTCTTTTCATTAAATTCTGTGCCCCTTCTTCTCCAAACGTACCTTTGCTCATTCCGGCCAAAAAGTTCAATTTTAACCTCATCGGTCCACAGAACTTGTTTCCAAAATGCATTCCGAACAGAGGATATTGACATCTGAAAACGCTTTGCTATCTTCTTATAGCCTTCTCCAGCTTTGTGAGCGTCAACTATTTTCAGTTTCAGTTTTCTAGACAACTGCTTAGAAGAACCCATGGTGCTGATTGTTGGGGCAAGGTCAGATGAGTCTGGGCATTTAAAACCTTTGAGATTGACATCACCTGGTCTTCCCAGACGATGATTGAGAACAATCCATGACACTGGCAGGTCTCAGCTTGGCAAAGAGGGCAGTGCATGCTATAAATTCTGCAGGGTGCCCAAACTTTTGCAGACGCCATTTTTTTTTTTCTGTTATTTTGAAAGTGTAAATGATGGAAATAAAATCTAACTTTTGTTGACATATTATAAGAATGTCTAATCTGTAATTTGATGCCTTTTGGATATTTTTCCATCTTTCCTTGGCTTCTTTATGCACATTAATTCAATTTTTTAGCTGGGCTGCCCAAACTTTCGATCCCCACTGTACTATAGGCAGTGCAGAAATTATTTTACAGAGAGATGGCAATAGTGGCTAATGGCAGAGTAATCTAGTAGTATATGGCGTTCCAGCAAATTTGAAAATACACTAAAGTGTTCCTAAACCCACAACAGTAAAATCAGTCTGTATATGCAGTAAAGTTATACTCACTGTGCTAAGGGGTTAATCCTCTGCATTGTGTAAAAGGGCTGTTTGATCCTGTCTTCTCTGATCCTCCCCTTCTGCTGTCCCCAATCCATCTGCTGATAGAATAGAGCCCTAGGAGGCACTCTGCACATGCTCTGATTGGTGTGTATTGCTAGAGAGTTTTGGCCCTGTGATCACCACAGGGCCAATCAGCGCTTTCCAGACAGAGGGTCAGGGGTCATACAGTCAGAGTAGAATGAAAACTACTCCTACAAGCTTTAACCAGTGCTTGACCAGACACTGATAGAAGTCACAAGACTGCTATATACTGCTGAAGAGAAAATTTATTTAGTACTTTATATTTACTAAAATATTTGCATTTCCATGTTAAGACAGACTGATCCCATAACCCTTCTGCACATGCTCAGTTTAGTGTGTATTGCTAGAGAGGTTTTTTTTTTTCTTGGGAGAGTGCATGTGATCAGCACAAGGCCAATCAGCACTGTCCAGACAGAGGTCAGGGGTTTTGCATCATCCTAGAGCAGAAAGAAAACTCTTCCTACACGCTTTAACCAGTGCTCTGCTGGTCACTGATAAAAGTCACATGACTGCTCTAGCTGCTGATGAGAAAAGCTATTTAGCAGTTTATATTTACTAAAATAATTGCATTTCCATGTAGTGTGTACTGTGGGAGACCAGATATAGTGAATGCAGGGTCCGGAGATTAGTAACACTTTAATACCTGTAAGAAATTGTACAGGGTTATGATTTTTATTGTAGCAATTACCAAGATAGCCGTTGGTGGCCCAGAATAAGACAGGACGGCCAGGTTGTCCATAGTGTAAAGAACTTTTCAGTACATACTCTATGCTGGAAAGTAGGATTTTTTTTTCTAGCAGGACATTAACAGTGTCTTTCCATTGGGTGAATGTTGGTGGAGTTGGGGAGGTCCATTTCTGTGCAACATAAAGCAGCCTTGTAAGTGGCAGCTGTAGTGACTCGGGAACCACATTCTCTAGAAGAATGCCCAATATAACACTTTTAGGGTCTTGTGGAAGTTGCAATGTATATAAGCACATTCGACATTTGCAATATGGAGGTTCAAGATCTAAATAGTTTTGGATGTCTCCACAACATGTGAATGAGAGTACTTGTGTCTCTAGAGCACCTTGTGAAGTAAGCCAATTTGGCCCCAAGAGAATTTTTGGGTACGATGAACTTTGCGGAATATAAACAGTTGGGCAAGTCTGTGGGTTGGTGGGAGGGAAACACACTCAGCATAGTCTCTTAGGTCTTTTTCCATTGATTCAGGTTTAGGAGACCAAGGTCTTGATTCCAAAAGTCTAGGCAGTGTGATTGAATACCGGATTTAATGGGAGTAGCTTATAGAGTACATATCAGCGATCAGCCCTTTCCTGGTATCTCTTGACTACTCAACTAGACAGACTACAGAGTAAGGAGCAAATGATAAGGTAGTTAGATGGGATTGCGCCTGTAATGCATGGCATAGTTGCAGGTATTGAAAGAATGAGTGTCTACTGAGCCCATATTCCTCTTGTAAAGATTGGTATGGTTTAATGATATTACCCTAATAGATGTGAATTAGTAAAAATATACCAGCCTCATTACAGATTTTGAAGCCCCCTGACTTG